ATTTTTCTGTTTAATTCTTACCCACCTTATTTTTCTGTTTAATATACAATGTAATTAATACAAGATGAATTTGGTGGTATAATTTGATAACCCGATTATGTTCCAAATCCGTTAATTCATTAAGTTTACGGAACAAATCTGGATCTCACCTAATCTGATCCTATCTGATTTGATATAATATATATTTTATTTTTACTTACTTAATATATATGCATGAACGTTTTGTAAATAAATAAAAAAATATTTTTCAACTATTTGGATATATGACATAAAAGAATTCGGATCGGATTCTGATATCAGATAATCTAACAAATCAGATGTGGATCTAGTTGTGAGTGATCTGTCGAATTTTCGGATCAGATCGGGTTGAATTTTTCTTGAAATTAAGTCGGATTTCAAGTGCTCCGCTCCAACTTTGACCTGTTTACAGGTTAACTACTTCAGCTAGAAGCCCCTTACTAATTCTTACCTACATAATGAAGTGACACACCAACAAATATTTTAATTAATTTAATTGAAAGGCAACTTATAAGAGTGATTTCATTTCTCATTTACTTAAACATTCAAATATTTTTATAGAAGAGTAATGCGATTTAGACACACAAGATTGTAATGTGTATATACCACCTCACTTAAATGTGGTCAACTATGTTTTTCTTTTTTCCTTTTTAAATTAAGTAATTTATATTTTCAATTTTTCTTCTTCTTCGTTGTATCCCTTTGGCTCTTGCGATCTCTATGACAACTCTGCATCCAAAAAGTATGTGGCACAAACAACTTATATCAATGGCAGCTGATGTGTATTTGCGATCTCTATGACCACCTTATATCAATGACAACATTACCAAGGTGATATGAGGAAATTCTTAAATGGGCCGGCCTTGTCGGTTGTATACCTCTAATCCAAATTACCATTTTATTCACGGAGTCGTTCTATGGTGAGGATGTTAACCATAGATGTGGACCTTCATATTAGCCACATAATTAATCTAAATAGTAACTTCACTTAAGTTTAATGAAATGATCATGTGTCTAATATGAAGGTCCACATTTGCGGTCCATATATGACACTCTCACTACATAATTTTGATTTATTCAGGCTTGGTTACTCATACAATTGGGTCCTAAACAACCCATCTTCTTCTTGTTTGGGTTGATTTAAGCTCAAAGCCTTAATCACATGGGGTTTCATGTTTGGTTTTTCCTCTCTTTTTTCCCCTTATTTGTTTTTTTCTTCTCTTAATACTCACTGCACTTATATTTGGTTCTTTCCTCTCTTCATGGGTCAATAGCTCTTCGACTTCAAAAGTTCTATATCTTACTTCATGAGTGCGACTTGTGCTTTGACCTGCCCAAGCCAATTACATAAATAAGTATTGTTTACCTGTATTAATGTAGTTCCTGTGGTGGTGGGGTAAAATTCCCCCTTGACTTGAAAACCATTCGTGGCCCACGAGTCAACTTTCTTTTGTGTGCGAGCGTGCCACTATTAGCGGCTAAAACCCTAACAGACTTATAAAAATTTAACAACTTGCGCCCCAAGCTATTGACTTTGATCAAGTAATTGTGAATTTGGATGAGGAATATCTCCCAAGTAAGTTCTTTTTTTGCCTCAGACGGGTGAGGACTTTACAATTTCCCACAGTAAAACTAGTAAGTCTAGCCAAAAATGAATATTGAAAATAAATCAAACTGTTTCCAAGAGAACTGCCTATTATACAATTTAAACAAAAGAGAACTGCCAAGTCCAAAAGGACATCAAAACATTGGGCTTCGATTTCTGCTTGGATTGTTGTCTATGACTCAAGTTAGATTGGATGTATCTGTACTGAAATTGCACATCAACACCTTCAATTGATGAGGCTCAGTTGGAAATTGATACCAACGTTGAGATTGGCAGAGCTTTAGTCAAATTTAGCCATGGGCAGGCTTTTCAAATGGGCATAATTGAGATATCTTTAATCTGGACTAGACTGGAAGTGGCTGGATTGACGATTGATGGCCTGGAACTATACTTCAGTACCTATTCTACTTGACTGTGAATCACATGAGAGCTATTCTGGCAGTTCTAAGACATTGAGGTATCTCTGGAAATTTGTTAAGGTTTTCATATTATGAAAACCCGAACTTCACTTGATTCATCTGCTCTGAACTAAGGTTGTAATGAGAGAAGTCTCGTTTCTTTAATGGACTGCTTCTTTGAACTGAACCATAGTTAGAAATATGAGTTTTGCCTGTTTTGTTAGAGGTTGGATGGCTTTCACAAACCAAAGAGCTTGGTTGGTTCTGAGTCTGAAAGCTTTGGGATCGTATGATCTTGCTTGATTTTGTCAATGTGACTGAGAGTTTTTGTTTTGATTGGATTTTTTTGTTGTCCTCTATCCTCTTCACATCCTTCTATATTTATAGGAAATCTGCATGAGTGATTATTACTTAATATCTGGAGGACACATTGTTGAGAGGTTTCTCTGCTCTAGTGTAAAAAAGGGTAGTAGTTAATTTGACAAGAAAAACTCCCATCAAGAGTCAGTTCTCGTTCGTCTCTTGTAAACCAAGCTTGTACTGACGAGACTCTCACGAGTATGGGAAGGAAACTTGGCCCTCTTTTCTGGCATTTAATGGTTATGGGGAGTGGTTTTTGATTTCACCTTTCTACCAACTCCCCTGCGTGTCCTCTGCCCTTTTCTTCTATTGATGTCTTGTCATTGGAATCACGTGGGCATCGTGGAGAGAAAAATCCTCCCCTTCATCTGCTGATCTGATCCTTTGAATTAGTAATCAACGGTGATGATCAAATCTTGAGCTCTTGGAAAAAAATCCAGAAGTTGGGTATTAATTAAACCAATTAAATCTGGCTTATTCAGATTAAATTACCATAAATGGTAATTAACCTTTAAACTATGAAAATTATTTTTGCAATTGGTTTGAAATTTTCTGGGCCTCTAAACATCTCGGGCTTATTTCCAATTTTGGTAAAACAAAGCCCAAATCCTTCTCCCTATATGGCCCAGTACCCAGATGGGCTGGTGCTCAGAAATTAGCCCTAAACAAGTACTTTACAACAATTCATGAATTGAAAACTCTATTACATCATCAAACTTGGATATAATGCATGAAACCCTTCTCTTGGTTCTACAAAAATATAAAAATTTTAAACAAGAAACCAGAAATATCATTAGGTTGATTAATTGAATTTAAAGCAACCATAAATTATAAACATTTTTAGTAAAAAAGAAAAAATGGAAAAGAAGTGGTTGGTTTTTTTTTTTTTTTGTTTTTTTTTTTATAAAAAAAAAAAAATTAAATATAAGGAAAATGGCAATTTATATGATAGATCAAGATTAGGAAACTTAATGCTAATGGATATGCAGTTTTGATTGTTTGTTAATCAATGTATAATTCTGATAGAAAATTTGGGATAAGTTCAAAATTTAGAACATAAATTGGGTTTAATCCTCGTATTTGTTGTCATTGATATAAGTTGTTTATGCAAATATCTCACAGGACAATATTCGCGAGATTCTTCCACCCTTCAAGCTTCCTTCTTTTTCTTCTTCCTCAATTCTTGTAAAATAGATTGGAGTCAACGGACCACACCTGGGGGATATTGGCCAAAGGTCATCCAATGCCTAAGTCACTTAAATGATCTTTATGAAAATAACGGAAAGGTTGGAGTTTTCTCTCAGCGGGGGGGAGGTGGTGTGGCCGGAGTGGTGGTGGGGGGGGTGGCCGGGAGGGGGGGGGGGGGGGGGGGGGGGGGGGGGGAGAGAGAGAGAGAGAGAGAGATGAATTTTGCTAGAGTTTCAGAATTACCCCTTGTGCGTTGTGTAGCCATCTATTTATAGACTCCTTGCTTGGCTAGGGTTTGAAGAATAATCCTTTATTTAATTAGGTTTATTCTTACCACAAAACTTTTCTTCATCTACTTCGTTGCTTGTGAGAAAGATCTTGGATGAAAGAATTGCTTGTCGAGGAGAGGAATTTTCGTGCACACCAAGATATGTCACGCTTGGTTTTTTTTTTCTTTGATTTTCTTCACAGCAAGGACCGGTTGACCTTGGTTGGTTGGTTGTTGTCATTATGCGGTGGCTGGAGTGTTGATGACGGCTGCTGGTGGCTATTGTTGTTGCCGCAACCTATTTTTTATTTATTTATGTTGTGTTGCATTGTGGGCCAAGCCTAGTGGCTGGCTGAGGTGGCATGGTGCTAACATGAGCCGGGCTACGCTAGTGCCGAGGTTTTTCAAGAGAGTGTTCCATGCCATAGAGTGTGCTCCTAGTCAGTGTACTCCGAACGTCTACCGGGCGGTGAGATGCTGTGAGAAATATGACCAAAATAGGAAGGCTTAATCATGTGTGGAGTACTGATGTACTGTACTGGTGGTCAACGGAAAATAGGAAGGCAAAGCAAACAACGGTCCACAAGTTCCCATCACTTATTGCCCCGATATATCACGATCTGTTGATCTGCTTCAATTTCATTTGAATTATTTAATATGTGGCTAATTGACTTATGTGTTCTGCTTAGAGAGCATGACTTCAATAAAAAAACTCGATGTCAAATCGGACATGGCGAAGGTCCGCAAAGCCATGAACATCCATGCAAAGTTTAGTGAATGACGTTGGTTATTAAGTGAATACCGAAGGAAAGTAGGTGGTCTACCCTCGGCCAAAGATATTGAGAGGTGAAAACTAATAATGCACAACATCAAAACACCTTGGCTACCTCTACAACCTCTCAACACACCCAAGGAAATGCAAGGGCAACTGAATCACCTTCTGGACAAAAACCTAACGGCTCTATTTTTTATTTTTATTTTTTGGTATAAATTACAGCCCTTACCATAAAGAAAAAGTAAGTCAGGCCATTCTTGTATTCTGTCCAAAACATTACTCTCTGTAAAAGCTTCATAAAAAGCATTCTTTCATATAAAAGCCTGAATATCTTTCATGGTATCAAAGCCTTGAGTCACCAAATGGTGCTATGCTCTCTTTCTTCACATGGCATCCTCTTCTGCATTTGTAAACCCATTTTCTGATTACGACCCCACCATTTCAGACTTTGCTTTACACACCTATACTCCTCCTATACGGGCCCAACACTTTCCTAATCTCCTCCCTCTTAAGCTCACAAGAGACAATTATCTCTTATGGAAAAATCTCTTCCTTCCTATGCTTCAAAACTATGATATGTTAGGCATCATTGATGGGACTGAACCATGCCCACCTCAATTTATTTCTTCTCCAAAAAACACTCTTACACCTAACCCTGCTTTTTCCAATTGGACAAAGAAGGACCTCACCTGCAAAATCTGGATAAATTTTGCCCTCTCTGACACTGTGCTTCCTTACACAGTTGGTGCAACCTCATCTCGTGATTTGTGGCTCACTCCAGAGAAACGTTTTGCTGCCCTCACACGTTCACACCTCCTTCAACTTAAAGCCCGCCTTTAAACCATTAAGAAAGGCTCCCTCACCATGCTTGAATACATTCAACAAATCAAAACTATTGCTGATAGCCTAGCAGCAGTTGTTGCTCTATTAGCTGATACTGATTTTATTGCCCATATTTTTCAAGGTCTACCCACTGAGTATGATGCCTTCTATACCTCCATTCGTGTTCGATCTGAACCATTATCACCAAAAGACCTCCATGGCCTACTTCTCAGTGAATAAATTGCTATTGAGCACAAAGCCACACTCTTTCCTCCTTCCGAGCCAACAAATCATGCCTTCTACACCTCCACCCCATCTACCAACTCCAGCTCTAAAGCTTCCACCTTTACCAACTCCTCATCTTCCCAATCCTCCTCCCGTAATCATAAATACCACAACCCCTTCAACACAAATAACAACAATTCTCGCTTCCAACGCCCTCCTACATTTGCCAAATATGTAATCGCAATGGTCACACTGCCTTGACCTGCCGCCATCGCATGGAAAGCTCTTTCCAAGGCCATACTCCAACTCCCAATCTCACCCAATCCTTCCATCCTTCACCTCCCTCTGCATCTTACACTGCTTTCACACCATCTTCCCATTCCTCCTCCGCATGGTTTGCAGACTCTGGCGCAGCTAACCACCTCACCAATAATCTCAGCAACTACAGCTTCACTCTTATTATTCTTGACTAGACAAAGTTGAGGTTGCCAATGGTCAGACACTTGATATTCATCACTCTGGTAACTCAACTCTTTACTCTTCCAATTCCAAATTTCATCTTCACAACATTCTTCACACACCCCAAACCACTCATAATCTTTTGTCTGTCCATCGTTTTGTAACTGACAATAATTGCCATTTGATTTTCACTCCTCATTGTAGTATTAAGGACAATACTACAGGGAAAATCTTGTTTCAAGGCCCTACTGAGGGAAGCCTATACCCCATCCATTTCAAATCTTAATGACCTCTTCAAGCTTGTTTCATCTCCTCAGCTTCCCACACACTTTGGCATCAGCGGCTTGGCCACCCTTCCAATCGTGTTCTCCAACAAGTCATCTCTTCCTCCAACGTTCAAACAACTAGCACCAATAAGCATCTTTCTTTATGTTCTGATTGTCAATTAGGCAAAAGCACTAAACTTCCTTTTTCTCATTCTACTTGTAATTCTACTGCTCCTTTACAACTCATTCACTTAGATGTATGAGGACCTTCTCCAACCCTTTCTGTCTCTGGATATCAATATTACATTTCTTTTATTGATGATTGGTCTCGTTTTTGTTGGATTTTCCTTTGCATTCCAAATATGAAGCATTTCAAGCCTTTCACACCTTTAAACAACAAGTTGAAAATCTTTTTGATTTAAAGATAAAATTTTTAAGATGTGATAATGGTGGAGAATACTGCAGCACTAAATTCCAACAGTTTCTTCAAACACATGGTATCACCCAACAATTCTCCTGTCCACATACCCCTGAGCAAAACAACCTGGCATAGAGAAAACATAGACACATACTTGACCTCACACGCACATTATTTGCCCAATCCCACCTCACACGCACAAACAACGGTATACCTAATCAATAGGATACCTTCAACTGTCCTTCAATCGTTGTCACCCCTACAAAAATTATTTAATTGCAAACCAAATTACATGTTTATGCGAGCCTATTGCTATGCATGCTACCCTTGGTTAAGGCCATATTCTAAACATAAGCTTGCTTTTCAAAGCATTCCTTGTGTGTTTATAGGTTACGGTCTTCAACATAAGGGATACAGATGCCTTGATCCCAAAACAGGTAAAGTGTACATTAGTCGCCATGTGACATTTGATGAAACCACCTTTCCATTCAAGCACTCAATCCCTATAGTCTCTACTACCCCACCTCCCTCTACTCCCTTACCACCATTCTTACCACTACGTCCATCACCTATAGTACCTCTCCCAACCTCATCTCTCTCCCCAAATCCTATTTTTCCCAATTCCTTTACCCAATCCTTTCATGCCACTTCCTCTTCACCTTCCTTGACCCACGCACCAACACCACCTTTGTTTGCACCATCAATAGATCCTTTTCTCTCAATTCCTCTCTCTTTTCCTCCCTTTTCTCCTCCACAGCCAAAACAACCTCAAAACATACATCCTATGCAAACCCGATCTAAGACTCGTAATGCACAATCTGCTATCTCCTCCATTCACCATCCATTTTCATGTGCCTTAATCTCTACTTACTCTCCCATCACCCCAACCACATATTCTCAAGCAGCAAAATCACCTCACTCGACACAAGCCATGAATGAAGAATTTCAAGCCCTCAAAACCACCAACACTTGGTTTTCGGTCCCCTATCATCCCTCATATAATGTGATTGGATGTAAATGGGTATATCGTGTTAAATATAATGCTAACGGTTCTTTGGACAAGTACAAAGCACGCCTTGTAGTTGAAGGCTTTCATCAACAAGCAGGCTTGGACTTCACAGAAACTTTTAGCCATGTGGCTAAACCCACAACAATTCGCCTTATCCTTTCCCTAGTTGTTCAATTCGACTGGAGCATCACCCAACTTGATGTGTCAAATGCTTTTCTCCATGGAACCCTTCATGAAGAAGTGTACATGTAATAGCCCCCTGGCTTCATCAATCCCTTCCATCCCAGTCATGTTCGCCGACTCAACAAGTCATTGTATGGCCTGAAACAAGGCCCATGCTCATGGTATGAAGAGCTTTATCACTCATTCCTTGGTATTGGCTTTGTTTCTTCCTCTGCTGACCCTTCCTTATTCATTAAGGCATACACAACTCTTACTTTCATCTTAGTCTATGTAGACGATATTCTAATCACTGGAAATTCTCTCTCTTACTGTCAATCTCTCATTCATCAACTCAGTTCTCAATTTTTCATGAAAAATCTCAGCCCCATTCATTACTTTCTTGGCATACAAGTTTAGCGCACCACTTATTCCATTTTTCTTTCCCAATCCAAATATCTTCATGACCTCTTGGCCGAAGCTCACATGATTGATGCCAAACCATGCTCCACTCCATCCTCCACTACTAAATTTGAAACCACCACTGATTCTTTAATGCCAGATCCTACAACTTATCATTCTCTTGTCGGAGCACTGCAATATCTTACGTGGACATGGCCTGATATTGCATTTGCCGTCAATCAAGCATGTCAACACATGCATCAGCCTACAACTCAACATTTCACTGCCGTTAAGCGATCTTACGATACCTCAAAGGCACCTCGAAAAATGGCCTCAAACTCACCAAAGGACACTTGCTTCTGATTGCATTTTTCGATGCAGATTGGGCAGGTTGCCCACTTGATTGCCGCTCCACAACAGGCTTCGGTGTCTTCTTTGGCTCAAACCTCATTTCTTGGTGTGCGAAGAAACAGAGCACTGTTGCCCACTCATCCACAAAATCAGAATACCGAGCCCTCGCTCAAACAATTGCTGAAATCACTTGGATATGTTCCTTGCTCAAGAATATGCACTTCTTTCTTCATCAACCACCTTTGCTTTTGTGTGACAATATCAGTGCTTTAGCCTTGTCTGCCAATCCAATATTTCATGCATGAACCAAACATATTGAAGTCGACTACCACTACATTTGAGAGTTGGTCACCAGTCGAGCCTTCTCCATTTAACATGTTTCCACCAATGACCAATTGGCAGACATCTTCACCAAAAGTCTTCCCAAAGCCCAGTTTAAACTACCCAATTCCAAGCTAATTGCTTCAGTACCTTGCATTAGCTTGAGGGGCGGTAATAATGCACAACATCAAAACACCTTGGCCACCTCTACAACCTCTCAACACACCCAAGGAAATGCAAGGGCAACTGAATCACCTTCTGGACAAAAACCTAACGGCTCTATTTACCTATTGACACTGAGTCACCATGTACAACCAAGGGACAGTTGTAGCAAATATGCCTTGTATATACCTTTATTATATACCCTAGGGTTTCTAGGTCTTTCAATTTTTTTGTATAAATTACAGCCCTTACCATAAAGAAAAAGTAAGTCAGGCCATTCTTGTATTCTGTCCAAAACATTACTCTCTGTAAAAGCTTCATAAAAAGCATTCTTTCATATAAAAGCTTGAATATCTTTCACATGGCCCAAACTCGGATGATCTGCCTAACAAATAGGAGGAGCCCTCGACTGAAGTCCCAAGAAAGAGGAAAGTTGCTCCCAATCTTTCCAAAGATGAAGTTGCGACCTCACGAGCAAGAGATGTGTTTATGTCAAGAAAGAAGCATAGACTTCATATTGTTGTGATCAAGTCTTCTACAAAGATGTCTTTCTTGAAAAGGGACATGTCCTTGCTAAAGAGTTCACTTACTCAAAAAGATAGTGAACTCGACTCTTCTGCTGCTGCCCTTCATAAGCAAAAATAGGCCTATCTCTATCTTAAGCTTGAGTTTACTAACATGACCCACAGTTATGATAAGTTGTTGGCCAAGTTTGACACCTATTGGGAAGCGGCTGAAGAATCTAAGTTTGATGCCATCTTTGATGCGTACAAGCTAGGCTACTTGGATTGCAAAAGTGGAATCGCTACTTGGATTGCAAAAGGGTGCTCTTTTGCATCTCGCTTAGGATGCTTTAGATGTTGTGTTGTCATACGTCTCTCTTAGGACACTTTGGCTACTGTCATGCTTCTCCTTTAGGATGTTTTGGACGTTGGTATGCTTTTCCCTTTGGACTTTTTGGCTATGTCCTATGTATCTTTTAGGACGCTTTTGACATTGGCATGCATCTCCCTTAGGACTCTTTGGTTGTTGTCATGTGTCTTTTTTAGGATGCTTTGGATGTTAGCATGCATCTCCTTTAGGATGCTTTGAATGTTGGCATGTGTCTCCTTTAGCACGCTTTGGTTGTTGTCATACATCTCCCTTAGGATGATTTGGACATTAACATGTGTCTCCCTTAGGATGCTTTGGTTAGTTTCCTGGATGCTTTTAGGACGCTTTGGATTGACTTTTTCTCAAACACTTCTTTGGATGAAAAACTGAACTTGCATTGATGCTTGTGTGATTACATCGCTTTATTGAATAAAAAAAACTGGATGAACTACTTGCAGAACATCAAAAGTAATCCTTCTGACCAAAGTGGAGAGGGCTTAGTCACCTGTTAGGAACTAACCTAGAAGCTTCACGGGTAGAACCTTCGGAGGCGATAAACATTCTACTGTCTCGGGACTTCTTTCCCTTCTAGGGTATCAAGTGTACAACTTATTCTGCCCCTAGATCGGCTGATCATGTAAGGGCCTTCCCAATTGGGCTTCATCTTTTTCGACCTCTGCCTTTGTACTGAAATGAAGGCTCTTCTAAGCACAAGGTCCCCAGGTTGGAATTGTCTAACTTTGGTTCTCTTGTTGTAGTAAGACATAAACTGTTGTTGATAAGCTACAACTTGAACAATGGAATTTTCTCGTTCTTCCTCAAGTAGATCAAGGTTGACCTTCATCTACTCATAGTTCTAATCAATGTTACCCATCTCGATACTCATGGATAAAACAGTGATATGAGGGAGAATGATCGTCTCATTTCCGCAAGTTAAGAAAAATGTGGTTTTGCCGGTGGATCTTCTTTTTGTGGTGCTATAAGCCCATATGACTCCCTTAATGCCTTCCATTCTTTTCTTTAGGCAGTCCAGCATGATATTGTTGGATGCTTCTGCCTGCCCATTGCCTTGCGGATGTCTCGGAGTTGATAAATGTTGTTTGGTGTCATACTTTGCAAAGAATGCAGTGATTTGCTTGCCGATGAATTGTGACCCATTATCAGTGACCAGCGATGTGGGCAGCCAAACTGAAAAATGATGTTCTTCCAGATGAATTGTTCCACTTCAACTTCTTTAGTAGAGGATAAAGCTTTTGCCTCAATTTAGTAAAGTAGTTGGTGGCAACGATCATCATGTCTTTCTTGGCAACTGCTGACGACATGGGACCCACTAAGTCAATGGCCTATTGCATGAACAACTATGGGCTGTTCTGTGGATGATATACTTCGGTAGGTAGACTCGGGACTAGCTTGTAGAGTTGGCATCGATCCCATCTTTTGACATACTCCTCAGAATCATGGCGCATGGTAGGTCAGAAGTAGCATATGCTGAGGTCCTTTTGGGTAAGTGATCTACCCAACATGATTTCCATCGCTGTCGTGAATTTTGCAGTGCACTTCGAGAGTTTGCGTACTTTATGCATGTGAAATGAAGACCGAAATATAATCTATGAACAAGTTTATTGTCTTTTATATAGTATATTGCAGCTTTCTGCTTGATTTTTAGCTCAGACGTCTCTCTTAGAAAGTTTTCGTTCATCAAGTAGTCGATGATGAGGTTTTGCCAGTTGGGATCTTCATTAAGTCGATCTGCTCTACCTCTTCGATGCTTGGCTGATCAAGGTGCTCGACTGGGATTGAGTGCCTGAATTGGGTTGCTAATGATGATCATACGCTTGTCATCACATCTGCATGTGTGTTCTATGCTCGAGGAACTTGTTTGATGGTGAAGGTGGGGAATGTCTTCAAAAGCTCTTGAACATTATCATTCTTGAGTGTTTTGCCATGTACTTCCATAAAGCTTGATTGTTGATCAGCTAGGAATCTGAATAGATGGCCAACCTCTTGATCAACAATTCTTTTGCTAAGCACAGTCAAGTAAGCAATGCCTCATACTCTACTTCGTTGTCTGAGGCTGGAAAGCCCAGTGTAACGGCTTGCTCTAACACAGTTCCTTTTGGGGTGATTATGATGATGTCTGCTCCAACTCCCTTGTAATTTGAAGCTCCGTCTATGTGTAATTGCCACATATCTAGGTCAGGTTCGGCGAGGGAGATCTCGTCTGCTCTCGAACTTTCCTTATTTATGTTGACCCGCTTCCTTTTTTCGGTTGATGATTAAGTGAATTCTACAATGAAATATACTAAAGCCTGAGCTTTTATAGCAATCTTCAGCCAATAAAATAGGTCATATTGACTCAATTCGATAGCTCATTTCTTGAATCGTTGAGAAGCGTCAGGACTATGGAGAATCGATCACAAAGGAAATTCTGTCATGACGATGATCCATAAGCTTAGTTGAAACGGCCTGACCCAAATTCCACTTTGGAATCCGGGTCGAACCCTGTTTAAAACTGACACCTGGTGGCTGTGGGTCGTGAATGACCAAAAGGTCCTGAAAACAAAACTACAAACTGAAAGACTCCAACTCGTGGCTGCACCTGATAATTGTAGGCTGCCTACGTACCTTTTCTGAGGGATTAAGCCACACGTAATTCTTTCCTCTGTTCCTGATCTGCACTAGTTTGTTTACTGTAAAACTCGCTCTAGGGCTGACATTCCTGGAGTAACCGGGTCTCCGTTTTATGATCGGTCAAATACTATACAATCCTGGAATTACCTAGATCAACATACCTGAACATGACTACGATCCAACGGCTCAAACCTGCTGAACCCGGAACTCACACACTAGGCGAGATACGTTCGGGGTTCAAACGGTATCCGAATTAAGATCCACGAAATCCTATGCGCTCGTGAGGACTAAGGGATTATTCTAGGACTGATTGTGGTCCCCACCCTGCTGCCCACGAGCCGCCACACGCTCCGGCAGCGCGTGGTGCTTAAAGCGATAACGCCTCGCCGGAAAAACTCCGAATCACGGCTCAAGGTTCCTACCCTAGGTGTAACACCCTATTTGGAGCCACTTTTGTTCTTGGACCTACCCCAAAAACTGGCCGGAAAGTGGCCGAAACTATGCTCTCAAAGCCGGCTAAAACCTAACTCGTAAATCGAGCTATCTACGCTTGAAATTTCTGAAATCCTACCCAACCAGCAGCTAGAGCATGAAAAATAGCTAGGAAACCATACCTCACTCGTCTGATTTGGTGGCCGGACGACGGAGAACGAAAGGTTGGAAGTTCTGTCAAAAACTGTCCAGCACCGCCTGTTTCGGGGCGGATTCCGGCGACTATGACCGCGGATCGTGGCAATGAAGGGCTGGGGCTGAAAGAGGGAATTTTGGTGGTTCGTTTGGCACTGGTCTTGCCTAAATCGGGGGTTAGACCTGAGAGAAAACAGCTCCCAAAGTCAGCTGCTCCAGCCTCTCCTGAATCCAGAAATTTCTGGGTTTATAAAATCTGAACTTCAAAATATTTACGGTTATACCACTGAAATTCTTTTAATCGTAACTCCTTCATTACAACTCCGATTTGAGTCCACTACGTGTCTACGGACTCCTCTCGCTGCGCTCTATGCAACGGTATAACTAAAATCTCCAAATTCCTTCCCGGTCAAAAAGTTAACTTTTATACCATTAAAATATTCTTGGGGTATAGTGGTCTTTTATTGGAATAAATTAATAATTAAATATTAATTAAGGACCGGGTTGGAACATTAGTAGTAGGGTTTTAACTTTCATGTGGATTCTACAAGGGCCAAAATGAGCTTCTCCATATTCGGATAGCAAGTCTTTACATCGAGCACAGCTTTTGACGTGTAGAATACCAGATGTTGGGCCCCCAGTTCTTCTCGAATGAGAGATGAGCTGACCGCTGAGTCAAACACAGCCAGGTAGGCGAATAGGTCTTCACCTGATAGTGGATTTAACAGTAGGGAAGGTGAAGTGAGGTATGCCTTCAAGTACTTGAAGGGTAATTCGCACTCTTCATCCCACTTGTCCTTCTGTCATTTCTTCAAGGCTTTGAAGGGTGGCGTGCACTTGTTGGTAGATTTTGAAAGATGAGACTCCAAATGTATATTTACTCGGATTCAACTTCATGCGATATTTTTGAAGCATGCCAAAGCCTTCGGCGAGGTTCTTAATTTGATCTGCTCATTTGGGAGCGTTGACCAACATGTCATCTCCGTAAACCTCCATAGTATTGCCAATCTGCTCCTTAAAAATCTTGTTCACAGGCCTCTGGTAGGTTGTTCCGGCGTTCTTCAGCCCAAAGGGCATGACTTTGTAGGAATATGTGCCTTTTTCGATTATGAAAGAAGTTTTTGTTTTTTCGTCTTCGTGCATCAAAATCTAATTATAGCCGGAGTAAGCGTACATGAAGCTGAGTAGCTGGTTGTTAGAAGTTGAATCTACGAGCTGATCAATTCAAGGCAGTGGAAAGTTTTCCTTTGGGCATGTCTTATTGAGGTCAGTGTAGTCGACGTACACTCACCACTTTCCTTGGTCTTTCTTTGCCACCAAAATGATATTGGCTAGCCAGTTTGAGTAGGAGAATTCTTCGATGAAGCCAGTAGCTAGGAGCTTGTCAACGTTTTTCTCTCTCACTTATTTGGATCAAAGAGTACTAGCTCGACGCCCTCTTTGGGCCTCCATCATTCTTCGGAAGAGGCCTTTTTATGGATTCCCTCATCTCGATCCAAGCTCTTTGATTGCTATTGAGGAATGGCAATCTTTTTTCCCTTTTGCTTTGCTAAGCTTACGAGAGTGAAATTGGCTAGCTTGTTTTTCTTCAACCCTTAGGTTGAACATCTTTTGGTCATCGCCTAATCACTGTTCATCTACCGAACACCGCCTACGGGGATTGGTAGCGAATTTTTTTAAGTGTGGCAGAAGTGATGGGGTTGATCTTGCCAATCCATGGTATGCCTAGGATGCCATTATAGGAGGAGACTTCGTCGATGACCATGAAGGTTTGCGAGCTGCTCACTAGTGAAGAATAGACATCAAGATCTATTATCCCCATGGTAACCGAGGTATTGTTGTTGAAGCCGGTTAGTGACATTGTTGATTTTTTAATCTTGGTCAACATGCCCATGTTTGTGCCTAATAAATCATGGTCATGAACTGATTAAAGGGACTTCCCTTCAGCACTGACGCCTACCGTTTCGTCAAGCATCTCGCCCTCCTAAGAGCAAAAGAAAAGCTGAAAAGGCAGAATCCCCTCGGCCTCGCAACCGCAGTTTTGAAGGCCGAGGCCGAAGGCCGCAAAGGACACGGTCTGAAAAGCTGTGCTTAAATCGCCACGTGGCCTCAGGGCCCCACGCTCCATGTAATGAAGCAATGCCTCTAACTTCGCAACAAAACACACTAGTCACAAGAAACATTCAATGCACGAAGGAGGTGACTGAAGTCAGGATTTGGTGACGGGAATCAGGGTGGTTAGGCGCAGACATTCTCACAAGTAATCTTATGACTTAAGGTCAGGTCACCAACCACCAGACCAGGGCATTAAATGCATTCCCACGGCCAAGGGGGCAGAACCCACGATCAAGGCAGTGGCCGAGATTTGCCGAGATTTATGGGGGTCACACCACCATACTTCACGATCCCAAATGCCGATTTGACTACCCACTTGCCCCGATCAGGCTCCACCACACAGGTCTTGTCAGCCTCGAATGTCCCTCCAGGACTCCTATAAATACTAAGCTCAGGACTACATTCAAAGGGTTCAAACACCAAAACCAAAAGCCTCCCACAGAGCAAATTATATTTTCCTGTAATGCACTTTCAATACCTTTATTTGCTTTCTTAGGAGTAGTGGTAGATTGTAAGAAAAATCCATTCATCAATATATCATACGACCCTTGATTTTCAAGGCGCCGGAGCACCATCTCTGTTATCGCCTCACTCACCCCATATATCATACAACCGTCGCTCTCTGAGCAACGCGCCGGAGCACCGCCTAAAACCCACCACCAACACCACCACTAAACGGCCTTGTAGCTCAGGCCGTGAACCTGACGGCCGAGATTCGTTCCTCACTCGGCCACGATCGTTTGATTAGGAGTCAAACGCAAAACAGGCGCAACATTTAAACCATCTTCTACCCGAACCTCATCATCATCTCGACGCACGGTAGACCGTGCTGGCACGCCCCCGCACAACCGCACCGCATCCAAAAGGAGGACGTCACGTGTTGACGCACATCCCCTCGGCCCGGAGCACCAAGCCGCGAGATTTGCGATGGACCAACAGCCCATTTGCTGGACAATCGAAAATTGCATGATATTGGTGTGCTGCACTCGTCCACGTGAATTCGGTCGATCACGACTTGCGCAATTTGGATGTTGATGATGAAGGCGTCATTGTGAGATAGATCAAGCCTAATCATGTCTTTCTTCTGGAAGTTGATTACAAGATTGTTTTCAATTGCTGGACAACTATTAAGGCTTGGGAGACCATAGTTGCCTGCTTAATCTTCCTTTTTTTCTCTTTGCTGGTCAGCTCGGATTCCTCGCAGTCGGCCAGGATTATATTAATCCTTATGACTTTCTGTGGATAGCCTTCTTCGCCACAAACTCTGTTTAGTGGCCTTCTCTTACAAGCTCCTCGAGGTGCATCTTCCACGACCAATAGTTGGCCCTGTCATGCCTATGTGTCCTATGTAAGGCACAGTACTTGTTGGTATCCCTCTTATCAAGATTTCCCTTCAAAGGCAGTGACCTCCTCAGCCAATGTTTGTATTTCACTTGGGCTAGGATTTGATGTATCGGGATTGTGAACTTTGTATAGCGCTAATCGGCTGGAGCGCCTACTTGGTGTTATGCCTTGCGTTTTCCCCCATGATTCCTACTACTGGATCTATCTTTCCTTTGACTTGCTTCCTTGGGCAGTTGGTTGGCTTGCTTAGCAGAATTTTTGGCCTTGAAATGCTTGAAGGGATGGTCAGCTCGCAGTATAGTTTGTGCTTGGTTGACAAACCCTTCTTGAAAGTAGAAGATGTGATTCGATCATCGCATCCAACAATGTTAGCTTTTTCCGCCTTGAAATGCTTGAGTTGGTTCTCGAGATCGGAACCCCCTTTGAAAGGTGTGAAAGATGGTGTTGAGAATCACTTTAGTGGGCCGCTAGCTCGATCTCGTCAGTGAATAGGGAGGAGTTCAATTGGTGTACCTCCTTACGTAGAGCATCTTCTGAATCTCCTCCAATCTTCAAGTCTCAAAGTCGGTCATTCACGAGATTCTCGACGTCTTTTGCTTGTAACACTCGCAAATGATTGTGGCATGCCTGCTTGCTGGGCAACTCACGCTTGTCCTTCTCCTTACTTACTGGTTCTTACTCTACCTAATTGGGACCTCTCAAACCCCTTACTGGTGCGTTCGTCCATCCTTCTATCTTCACCATTGGATCTAAGGCCAAGGTCTCAGACTAAGTCGATTAGCATGAGGAGATGTCCAACCAAGTTGTTTTGGTAGTCTACTCTTTGAGTCAATTGGTTAACTCTAAGACTGAGGTGTGCTTGACTGCTAAGATCAATGGGAGAGAATTATTTGAAGCCCAATTGCAAGCGGCCTAGGGTTTCGTTGAAGGTGTGCACATTAGCGAACATAAAGCACAGTGGAAAATGAGGGAATGGTCGCACTTGCTCCAAGATTGCACCGTAGTCTGCAGTGTTGACAAGATGGCCATGAGAGGCATCAACATGGATCGCGGTATAGACATGGTGGTGTGCATCGGATTTGGTCGTGAGGCCATATGGATAATGGCTACTAGAATCGGCCGCAAGGCCGTGTGGCTGCAAGGTTGTGACAGCCACGAGGCTGTGAGGCAATGCAGCGAGAACCATTGTGGATGGAGCCACGCCAACGGCCGTGAGGCCGTGGAGAGGAAGTGTGGTCCCAGCCATGGGGTCGTGTAGGGGATGACTGGTACTCATGGCTAGGGAGCCATGAGTTGGAGCCGTAGTCTCGATTGTGAGGCCGTGAGACGGATGGCCTTAGCCCGTAGTAGATTGAATCTCGTGTGCATGCTTCCGGCCATGGTTGTTCGGAAGGTTTTGGTTGAGTGATGAACGGAAAGAAATAGATTCTCTATTATGAGAAAAGAAGTCTGAAGATAAGCGACGACTTATTGGGAGTTTGAAAATCATTTTTTATTATTATTGTACATCGATTTTGTTGTAATTAATTTGGGAATGACAAGATAAATTTTAAAAAAAAAATGGTAGTACAGACTCATCTCAATTTTGGTGTTGTACTACACCAAACAATTACTTAAATCTAGTCATATCTCAAACAAGTTAATTTAATCCAATCCAATCCAATCCAGTCTATCTTACCAAACGGGCCCATAGTTCCTTTTTGTTGTCCATATTGAAAGCCTTTTAGTTTGGTAGTATGTTGACAATGGACATCAGTGGAGACCATGGTCTTCAATTTCATAATTAGGGAACTTTCAAGTTTTAGCCTTTTAAATAAACTAACTGGCAATTTCCTTTGACAAAAACATAGGGATGGCCCATATGAATGAACCACCCAAAACACATGATGAAATTTGTACTAGAGTTCCATATATTATACATATAGTTTTTACATAAGAGTTCCATATATCATATAACCGATACAACCACCCCAGACAAAAAAATGGAGGGAAAACTCTTTAATGCAAGTGGACTATTTTAGAATAGAAGTTGTGAAAAGTGCAGTTTTAGCCAATTTCACTTGAATGAATTACGGTTTAAGTGCGTCAAACAAAATCCTAACTTGAATGGACAAATATATCCCTCAATTGGAATGGATGAATGAAAAAATTTGATGGAAGAGGGCACACTAACACATTTTAAAAGATTAGAGGCCCTCAAAATCGAATTGAAAGTTTGGAGGGCAAAGTGGAATAAGGATAGTTTAGGGGGTATTGCTTTTTAAAAAAATTTCCATTTCTTTTTCAGTCAGAATTTTTTTTATAATCAATTATATAAAGCTGGGACATGTTTCCTTGTTAAGAAAATGATAGAAAGTACATATTTTTAACAATTATCAGGTAGGCAAACCAGGTCTAGCCCAATGGAAAATGATTTTGACTTGCATACTAAAGGTCTCAAGTTCGAATATCTACAGCATTATAGTTGTGTGTGTGAGAGAAATCCCTCTCCCCAGTAGTCTAGAACACTTACTAAAAAAAAAAAAAAAAAAAAAAAAAAAAAAAACAAACCTCAGATACAAACTCCCCAGATACCAGCTAGGTCAATTACCAGATACAATATACAGTATACTTCCAAATCCACATAATCCCCCCTTCCCCATCTGATTCATATCATATCAGTCAAAAAGAAAATGAAAAAATTTGGACCCTTCTTCTTCTTCTGCTACATGGTTTCGCTTCAGCCATCAACAACATGGACAGTGATGAAATATATGACGCTGCTGGAGTTTTCATTGGCGTCCTCGCCATAATCTTACTCATAGTCTTGATCTTTTGCTGCAACCGAAGGCAGTCTCCCGTTGACCCGTCTGACCACGACGAAAGCTCTGCAACCATTGAACAACGCCTTGATGAAGCCACAATCTGCAGCTACCCGAAGCTGCTTTACTCTGAGGCCAAGCGGCGAATGGTTGGCTCGGTTTCAGCTCCTTCTTGTTGTTGCATATGCTTGGCAGACTTTGAAGACAAAGACGTCTTGCGATCTGTGCCTAATTGTGGCCATTTCTTTCACCAAATTTGTGTAGACAAATGGCTGCAGCTCCATCCGACGTGCCCAATTTGCAGAAACTCGCCTCTGGATCCATCTGCAGTTTTGGTGGCTTCTGTTGAGGTATAAATAATAGTGGATTGTTGATTAGATGAATTGGAGTTTTGGTTGGTTTTCTGTGAAAATTCGATACCCATGTATTAGTTGTAAACATTTCTTTCTTGTTTAAGAATATTTTTGTGAACACACTGATAAACAATTGACTTGTCCATTGGTGTTGATCAAATTACATCTCTCCTGTTCTAGTTGATTCGACCCCAATGTAGATTTGACGGATATACTTTCTTCCAAGTAAGAAAAAAAAACACAATCAGTAAACCAAATACTAGTTGGTCATATATATATGGCTTAATATCACGAAACGTCCTTTAGGTTTACAAAACTATCAGATTGAACCCTTATAATTTTTTTGTGTCATTCGTGGTCCTTAAAGTTAGTATGTGTGCTTACAAATGGCCCCTGCTGTCAGGTTTCATCAAAAACTCTATTAGTTTGTTGACGTGGCATATATATATATATATATATCATAAAAATATCCCTAAGGTTCACTCACCTAGTTCGATCTGGGTTGGAAACCGGAAGCAAACCATAATTGATGAAAACCGACTGCTTCGGTTAATCGAACTTAGTGGGTTGGTTTGGGTTTTTTTGGCTTTCTTAGAGAGAGAGAGAGAGAGAGAGAAGAAATAAAAGCAATGGAGAGAGGGAGAGATGGAGAGGAGAAGAGAAAAAAAGATGGAGAGATGGAGAAGAAGAAGAGAAGAAGAAGAGAAAAAGAAGAGAGAGAGAAGAAGAAGAAGGGAAAAAGAAAAAGAAAAAAAGGGAGACGGGGAGAGGGAGTGAAGACAGACATAAGAAGAAGGTGAAAAAAAAATAGAGAGAGAGGGACTGATGGAGACAAGACAGACGAAGAGATGGAGAGAGAAGAAGAAAAAAAAAGAAAAAAGAAAAAAGAAAAAGAAAGAGAGAAGACAAAATCCATGCGTGTGTTGGGGGGTTTTTAAAAAAAAAATTCAGTTAGGCATGTGTGTTATATATATATTTCTTATAATAATATTATATATATGTTTTTTTAATACTATTGGTTTGGTTTGGTTAAACCGTGGTTTTGGATATTGCAAAACGTACACCGAACCATATATTTCGGTTTCGATTGCGTTCAAACCGATGACAAAAAAAATTGAAAAAAAACCAAACCAACCCAAACCATTGGTTTGGTTTGCGCGATTTGACTGAGTTATCAGTCCTACCCACCACCACCCCCCCCCCCCCCCCCCCCCCCCCCCCCACCCCACAAATGGTCCCTGCGAAATTTTTTTATTTTTTTCATTTAAAATTCATAAAATTTTGATTTTCTTTTAATGAAAAACCCTAAATTTTGGTTTTTTCATTTAAGATTTTGGTTTTTCATTTCTAAATTTAAAAAACTCCATTAGTTTGTTGATGTGGCATATATGTGGAGCTCCCATCTCCATTAATATAGTGTCACATTTATTTAAAATACAATATATATTTTTAATTAATTTAAAATTCATAAAATTTTAAAAAAGAAAGCCAAAGTTTTATGAATTTTAAATGAAAAAATCAAAAAAAAATTTGCAAGGACTATTTGTGATAGATGTGTGAACCTCATTGATGTTTTGTGATATATATATATATATATATATATATGTCACATTAGCAAATTAATGGAGTTTCATGGAACCTAACGGCAGGGACCATTTGTGAGCACGCATACTAACCTTGAGGACCATAAATGACAAAAAACAATAGGGATGCAATATGATAGTTTCGTGAACCTTAGGGATGTTTTGTAATATTAAGCCATATATATAAGACCAACTAGTATTTGGTTTATTGATAGGTTTTTTTTTTAGTTGGAAGAAGTTTGAAGTTCGATTAACATAAATATGAGGAAATATAAGAGAAAGTATTGAAAACTGATAAAATGGGAGTTGTTCATCCACTTCTTAATAGTTTTTTTTTCCATTTTATAATGCAAGCATATTAAAGGAGGGGAGAATCAAACTTAACCATCAATGGCATGTTTACTCATCAGGAATGAGTATTGAAATGATTCCAATTCCTCTTTTTCATGTGTTTACTCACACAAAAGAGTATTGGAATGATTCCAATTCCTGACTTTCCTAGGATTTGACACATAACATATGAAAATTTATGTGGATTCTACCTTAAAATCCATAATTGAATTAATATCCTCAAAATCAGAAATGAGATTAACTAAGAGGAGTAGTTGATATGATTCCAATGTATTGATTCCCTTTCTAAATTCTCTGATTCATACATAGTAATAGGACAAAAATATATCGACCACATATCCATAGCCCTCCATTAATTAAACCCATTTTCATATATAAGACAGGTCGACTCTTCAAGCAAGGTTCACGCACCCTGTGGTTGTGATTTATTTTGGATGATAAATAAGAATTATGTTTTGTTGGTACGTATTGCTTGTGGTGCTATCAGGGGATTGTAAGCCCAAGGGAACATGCAGTATCCAAGCTGCTTTCGTCGGGAGTCTCTTCCAATTATTTTTATAAAAAAAAAAGAGTTTGGTCACCTATCTTGTCCTGTCTCTCTCTTCTACATTGTGTTTAGCCATTGTACGAATTCCCTAGCTTATAGGTTTATTTATACTAATTTTTTTTTCCTTGCCTATCAACTTTTAAGTCTTGCAACTTCAAATTTGTTTCACCCATCAGGAACCTTTGTTTGATCTTTCAATAGGACCTAAACTATGCTGCGGTTATTGTATATCAGGAACTTTTGTTTGGTCTTTTTTTCAATTTTTTTTGGTATTTAAATTGGTCGCTGACGTCAACTTGCCCCAACAGGTCTTGCTTTTATGCTTGCCCAGTTTCATGACCCACTTCTTCCCAAAAATCCATCCTAAACCTCCTTATTTCGTTTCTCCTTTTATGTTTTTTTTTTTTTTTTTTTTTTTTTTTTTTTTCTTTTTTTTTTTGTTTTCTTTGTTGTTATATTGGTTATTAGTTTTATATAAAGTTTGTTCTTCAATTCTCAAGACATTTAATTATCACAAGACACGTATCCTGTATGCACTCTCTAATTCACCTGAACTTTGTTTGATTCTGACTTGTTAAAAGTATCCCACCTGAAATGACGAAATCTAATAA